AGGGGGATTGGAACTTTAAGGTCCCTTCCAACCCAAACCATTCTATGATTCTATGATAAAAAGTTCAACCTTTGGGGGCAAGTTCTTGACAAATCATGACCCACATTGTTTGGTGATGCATTTTCCTCCCATCAGTAATGAGTCACCTTTCACCATAGGAAACAAAGACTAATGAAGCCCACCTCCAAGACAAAGGGATTGCTCCAACACTACAGCCAGTTAAATTCTTCAGTACAATGTTGGGTGCTGACTTGCCAGCACTCAGGTGGAGATGAGCTTTGTAAAACAACTGCTTAGGGCTACAGTGTCTTTCGGGGGAAGAGGGGGTGGAAGATCCCCTGATACAGGTATTTATAGGTGACGCCAGAACCAGGACAATAGGACATCACATCTTGAATCTCATCCCCCAAATCCCTCTCCCCCATGCTACATTAAACAATTTCCTTGCCCATGTGCCTAAAGCTTTATGAAAATAGCTTGTAGAGGAGTAGCTCTTCTTCTGACTTCTCTAAGGCTCATCTTAGAACCTGAAACAGGTTCAGATCTCAGAATCAGAATTTCCAGTTTATGCAAATTTTTGTTAGGAGACACAATCTAAGTCTGCATGGTTGGCTAGCTTTAGTCACGATATAGGACCAATGGCTGAGAAATCTGAACTCCTCCCCTCACCTATTATCTTACAAAGTCTATGTCTTTAACAATAATCAAGAGGCTTGAAATGCTTGCTACTTACCCTTGAAGTCCCTTTCTCCATCAAATTAAATGCATGGTCTAAAGTTTTACAACAAATGTCCTGTTATAAAAAGCAGCCAGAAAGCTGACTCGAACAGTTAAGCAAAGAATAACCCCTACAGAGAACAGGTGTACTCTGTCTGAAAAAGCTGCAGACTGAACAGGCACCGAGCATATATTAGAAATCATTGTTTCACATACTGCCTAAACAATCTGGATAAAAGTTAAAAAAACCCCTCTTGTAAGAAAAAGCATGTCTTTATAGACAATGTATCCCACATCTGATGTATCTCTAAATTGTGACACCGGCTTTAGCTTTCCAATTCGTGATAGACTAGTATCCCTGCTGTAGTGAAGCAGTGACTGAAAACATAAAAATGAAGTTTAGAAAACACTTTTTGTATTTTTAGTCACCTTCTACAGCTATGATTTTAACTACAAGAGAAGAGATAGTGTGATGAATCAACTTTTCACTAATTGCAACCATATGCTCTATGCACTCCTCTCTCAGAATTTCTTGTGCATTTAAGCTTTAAAGGCTAAACTAAATAAAATTGCAAGTGGCTACGCTTTAAAGTCACTAGACCAAATGCTGATCTGTCCTGTGCCTTGGTGTAGGATGGTGTCTTCTGAAAAGGTTGATAAATTAGAATGTTAATTTAATATGAAATATAAATTGTACCTGCAGTTCTTCCAGGAGATCAAAGTTTTGTTTGCGCAAGCTACTGTTTGCCTTTTCTAATTTATCCAGTCTCTGATTGTCATTTAAAGATGAATCTATAAGCTCATCCTGAAGCACATGGTATTCAACTTCATAAGCTTGCAACTGCTTGGCAATATCCATTTCAAACACCTGTTTTATATAAAAATATTATTAGGTGCTGTGCAGATCAAAACCATAGCTCATTCAATGCTTTAAAATCTATGCATGTAGACTTAGATATCTAATCACTGCATGCAAAAAAAGGACTTAATTTTGACATTCACATTTCCTACTCTGGAAATGGCAAGACTGAGGCAGTAGAGTGCAATATATTGGCACTGTAGTTACTTGAAAACTTTGCTACTGATTTGCTGCCTGACTTCAGCAAAATCACTTACACTAAAGTTTTCAAGAAATGTAGACTTTGTAGGGTATTCCTCTTGTTAGATTTCAAATTTAATGCATCTCAGTTTGGCATAAACCCTCCTAGACATACTCAGAATTAGATGTCGCTTTAAAAAAGCATGGTCTGAGCCCATGTGCCACACGTACAAGTGTAAGGCTAAGTAGAATGAAAACTTTCAATGAAAAACAGTAAACATTGCTTAGGTTTATTTATGATTCTACAGTACTCCTAGAGACTGAAAGAAAATGAAATAATCTATCCTTACACTAATACACTTAATGGAAACATTATGTAATGTCAAAGTAGATTTCTATTATTGTTAACTATGAATCACCAAACTGAGTGCTCAGTTTTATACATGAATACTAAGAAAACTTTTTATTTGAAAAGCAGATAAATAAATTGAGGTGCACTGAGTGACCCAAAGGAAAAAAAACCCCGCTATTGTATTTTCCTTTTTCTAGGTTTTGGCAAACATCTGCCTTCACATTATTCAGGGAATATTACTCTAATGTCCGTGAGCTAGTTATCTCCTCTGAAAGCAGTGAAGAAGGTGGTAAATTAAAAGCACAAGTGTGCCAATCACAGAACATAGTAAAAACAAAAGTTGATTTTAAAATGCATCTGGAAAATAGCCCAGCAATAGAAGTTCAAGGGTTATTCTTTATTTTTAAACCTCCTGTACTTTATTCCTTTTAAAAACGCGTCAAATATCAAATCCTATCTTAAATACCTGTTGAAATAACAAGTATTATTTCCTATTTACCTGCTTTGTCTACAAAACTTTAACTGTTGTTTACAGTTAAAGAAAACCTCACTTTATTAAATGCTTCCAACACCTGTCACATAAGCTATAAAAAAATTCTCTCATACTGTATAGCAGCAGAAACATACATATTGAGCATCTAAGTATGGAAGACAAATACAATTTTAATTTGAGTTTGGTTACACATATGGAACTTTCATTTTTTGTAGATCTGAGCATCTCTGGAGAACACACTGTTGAAATTTCAGTAAAACAAATGGTGCAATTCAGTGGGGCAGAATGCTAGGTCCTTCTCATGACCTCTGCCACTTCTAGCCTCTGTGGTCTTGAGAAGGGAGGGAAATCCCTGCTGTCATACCCAGAGTATCAGATCTGAAAGGGGGGAAACATGAGGCAAATCAAAAGCTTGATTCGAAAACTAGCTAACTGAAGGCACGTTAGAGGATGTAAACCAAAGGCCACCCTGCGGAAGGGGTGAGGAGGATGGGGATTAGCTCAGGAGCTGTGTATGGACAGCAAGGCTGGTCAAACAGCTGCTCTCTTCAGAGGCAGCCCAGATCAAAGCGGAGGAACTGCTCTCCCTTCAACTCACTTCTACCTGCCCACTTTAAATTTAGAGCAGTCAGAGCTGCCTAAACAGCGTATCTCTCCCCCTTTCTGCTCAAAGACAATGTTTTTTTGCAGGTCGCCTAAGTCTCTGCAGAGCTATGCACTCCAAGCTTTCAACCCAGCTGATAACATATGATCCCCTCTGCCCCCTAGAAATCGCTTGCTTTCCTTCCCCTCACACAGGCTTTCCAATTCTTCCCTCCTTCCTTTGATAGTAAGCACTAGAAGCAATTTTTCTGATCCTAATTTGAGCGCGCGTCCCCTGGAAGCTCTGCTGACTGGGATCAGAAAGGAGACCCTCGCAAGCATTCTGCAGTAGTACTGTGCTGCTTCCTGCTTTCTTTATCAAGCCATAGGCAGATCTCCTTCAGCCCAGGGTGAGTGGCAGGCATCTGCAATTCTGTGCAGCACACCTTCCATATTTTAGACCACAAAAGGCCTTCAGAAAATTAGGCTAAAACCCATCTTCAATTTGCCTGCTGCAAATCAGATGTCAAGTGTAACGGTTAGGGTTTCTAAACAGGCAACCCTTAACCGCAATAATTTGCAATTTTTTCAAATGCCATAGTTATCATCTGGAGCCTTCTGCAAGCTTAGCAATATTGCATCATTTTCCTTGTCTGCCATTTAGAAAAGTATATCAAGGATTCCCCATTCTTGCTGTCTACAGTCACTGCTCACTGCAAGAGACTGCACTGCCCCATGTACTCCTGGCAGAAATACAAAGGCACTGTTGTAACATACTGAACCTGCACCACAAAGGCCAGTATAGATAGAGTCAATGCAGGGAGGCTTCTAATTTCATTAAGTAAGGTCAACATTTGCGATGCTCTTGTAAGTCAATTTTTGCTTCTGAATGAGCCTTGGAGAACAAGATTGTTTGGAGACAGAACTCAGAAGGTTTTTAGCCCATCTTTGCTGCTGCTTTTGTGGAATGCACTGTGTACGGGCTATAATATTGCTGCCAAGAACAGCCATTAAAGACACTTAAAAAAAAAAAAAGTAAATTCATTTTCAATAAAGGCTCCATAAAATGACGATAACCAACATGTAGATGTATGAATTCAGAGGTACTATTTAAGTCATATGCTTCCAAAAGCTTTCAACATCTTCACAACTACAACAGAATTCTCAGCTTGAAGTAACACAATACACTGTTGTGGTTTTTCTGTCAAGAACTTGTTAAAAAGAGCATTCCTTTGCATACTACTCATATGTTCAGATTATTTCATACCTGACTAATGGTCTTTTCCATCTGTACCAAACCCAAGTTGGGGAGAGTGCTTTTAATAAAATCAACAATAGTTTCTAGGTTCTCATGCTGCAGAATCAAGGGCTTGTGGCTTCCCAAAAGGCTTAAAGCCACTTTAAATATGGCCTCTGATCCTTGAAGAAAGAGCATATCTGTGAAAACAAAGAAAAAAATAGAGTACATCTTTTGACAAGAATATTAAAACAGTAAAATGTCCAAGGACAACAACTTCTCATAGGGGTGATCTGGAAGCTACATATACTCTGCCAGACATGTGCTTTTGTTACTGTGGCTATGGCTTTAGAAGTTTTGTAGGATCAAGATTATTACTGTGAATAGCACACTTGACTAACACAATCAATTATTCATTTATTTAGTGAGTTTTCATCCAAAGAACCAATTCAAATTTAAGCTAAGTACACAATAAACCAGGTAAGTCAAGTTTGTCAGTGTTGCCACTTTTTGTGCATGTAATAGTTTTGTGGGCTTATTTTCTTTTGAGGTGTTCATGGGAATCTGAATTTGGATACAATTCCAATCCCAATGCCATTTAAAAATCCTAACACAACAGGCAAAAACTACACCTGAATACACAAACCGAAGATCTGAAATTCTGTTCTTTTCTCATCTGGTGGAGAAAGCTACAAAATCTCAGTAATACAATGTTGAGCACATGAGGCTAAATGGACACTTCCCTCATGAGCAGCCTCATGTTTCATGTGCATGTGCTTATTTTTAGTATGCGTCTCAACCATTTATGTTAATATTCTTAATTATTCATTAATAAGTACCCTGAAATCTTAGTAATACAGCTTAAGCATTAATGTTGCAGGTGGCCCTGCAATGACAGCACCTGGCATACGTTCAGGCACACTGAAACCACAGTATATAGTGACCTTTCAATGCAACTTCTTTTTCTTTTCCTTTGCAAATTGTCTGTGTCTTTACAGAGGAACTAGAAGACTGATGCAATGAAAGCATCAGACAAGTAACCCATCTTCACAAACCCATCTGTCCACAATATAAACAGCATTACCCTGCATTTGACTTTCCTGCTATTATAACTTAGAATCTGCTCCTGGTTTTATTGAGGGACCCACTACAGGCAAAAGCATCTAATACATGAAACAATACTGGTGGAGGTGGAAAAGGAAGAGAAGATAATGTGGTTTTATTCCATATTTCCTAAATATATTTTTATTTTTAAAGAGCTGCTCTCTTGCTGTTTTCCTTCCTTGTATTTAAAGCTCTGAATGAAATCACAATCACTTACGAAGTAGCACAATGACGCCAAATAAACAGTATGTGTTAATAATAAAAAAAAAGAAGAAAGAGAGAAAAAAACCCACCACACAGTAAGAGAAACAACTACTAGCAAAACCACAGGTATCTCTGATGTAGTAAAGAACATATGAAAACACTGGCTAACTGCCTTTCTTAGTAAAAGCAACCTCTCCGAATTTGTATCAGAATGAAATTCCCCTTGTGTTCTTTTGCCTGTAATGCTGAAGCCATAACTCATTTCACTTCTTTCTCTCTCTCTCTCTGAGAAAGAAAAGCACAAGTAATAACTAACCATAAATCTTGCACTTTGCTGCCATTTGTCCTAAAAGTGGTGTAAAATTTTTCAACTCTGATTCAATGTGAAGTCCAAAGGCAGGAATGACTGAAAAGTGGTAACAGAGTAAGCATCTGCCTCAATTCTCTATTGAAACTGAAAACTATGGGAAAATGCTTTATATGGAAAACTCTATATTAGGACAGGGAACGCTGAAGAACAGCAAGGAAACACAAAGTGAAAAAAAACAAGCTGAAAATAATGCATATTTAAGATTCAGCACCTGCCCCATAAAGACATGTAGAGTAACTCAAGGTGACCTATAAGTTGTTAATGAACATCTGTATGAGCTGAGCTGGTCATATATGGCTGAAATCCCTCTCTCATTTCAAATAGAAAGTACTTAACAAAGACCTGTTTGTTATCTGCTCCCCATGGTTCCCATTAAGTGGGCTGCCAGCCAACCACAGTACAGTGACGGTACCCAAATTAATGTCAGCATGACTAGCAGCCTATAGGATTAAAAAAAATCAAGTTTTATCTACAGTCTTGAAACAAAATAAACATTATTCTACCAAGTCTCCTCCATTAGTAAGTAAATAGGGGTATTAAAGAGCACATCTTTCTAACACTATATTTTCCTTAGATCCTGTGCAGGAGAAGTGTTGAAAGTTTGGACAGATAATTAAAAGGTAAAAAGGAGTTTTGCTATTTGACTCATAAAACAGTCTTTGGGTTAACTTCTTTCTGGTTCACTTTTACATACTGTTTGTAAGATGCTTGCAAAAAAGCACATTACATGGAAATCTAAAGGAAGTGGTCTGTAACAATTATATTATTAAATAGCAGTGGGGCTCAGCTATCCAGGGTTCAGATACCACATTAGAAAATGGCAGTGCAATCTTACAGTCTCAGTAAGTAGTCTCACCTAGTCACTCTTACTCACCTAGAGGTGAGTTATTTCAACCTTAAAAGGCAACAATCTTTCATCCCAAGGGTTCTAATAAGAGAGCAATGAAAATGCACATATGTTCTGCAAAGTGTGTGAACATATGGGTCAGAACTGGCTGGATCCTAACGTGCCATGCTGCCAACGACAGTCACTAGCAAAGTGACAGCTCTAACCTTCTTTAGGTTTGCAGTTGTGTTTCAGAGTCTTTAGCATGGGTGAAGATGAGACTTTACTTTCTAATTTAAAAGAATGTCCAATGTTCTTGACTTACATAGTTCAAGTAAACACTGTTTTAAGGAAATTACTGTGAAACATTAAAAACTGCAAGTGCTGGTCATGCGGGACTTTCTCTCTAAAAAACATCCAGAGATTTTTTAAGAGGTGACAGTTTCAGTCACACATGCTTTTCTGTTCTTGACCTAAAATCAGTCTTGTGAAGATCATGTATCTATGCCTTCTGTTCTAATGTGAAATCCTTGCTTTTGAAAGCCCTATAATCCTCCAATGACAGATAAAATACTAATCTGTGTATTAAGGCAGAAATCCAAATACACTGGGTACACAACGCACTTTTATACTCTCGCTACAGTCAACTGTCCAATTCAAAGACTCTTCTTATCATATACAATACTATGAATGATTAAGAATAATTGAAAGATGAACTGATTATAACCTCAGTATATGACACTCACATACAGCACTTCATTTAATTCCTACAGATGATTACTGTCAGCTAGATACTTGTCGATGTACGTTAGCCTACGTTGAACTGTTCCAGAAAAAAAAAAATACGCTGTTTTCCCTGGAGGTAGATGCTAATCACAGGAGAAGTAGTTCTACTTAGCTATACACCATTCTTTTCACTAGGATTTCTTCTAGCACTACTTTTGACATGTCCTTAAACAGAAACAGGACTAGATTCTTGATGGCTCTTCTTGGAATCTATATTCATTATTTGTTATTGTGGTAGATAAGAATATATTTTTTTTAAGTCAGTGTCAATATTAATACTCTAGTAAATAATTGCTTCATGACATCTCTTTAAGTGAGAGTGACTAAGAAAAATGAAAATAGCTTCTCATTAGAAGAGAGGAATTGAGGGGAAGCTGCAATCCACCCTGCTCATCATGGAAGATCCAGTACCACATAATGAAACTGAAAAACAAACAACTGAAAAGGAAATAAAGCATCTTCTCAAATACTAAACAATTTATGAAATATACATCCATAAGATAGCATCAAGGTAAATTCTTAATTTGAATTTAATTAGAGAACTTCACTTCTGTAGATTCTTAAAATAGGTAACAGAAGTGACTTTAGAGCCTAAACCCCATACGCTTCCAAACATTTTCAGAAAGTGAGATTATCAGTCAGGCTAAAATTGTGCTGATAGAGAACACTAGTTTGAAAGCTCCGTGTTTCTGCAGAGTAAATCCATGATTAAACTGCAAGGGCCATCTCTGTCTGTGTTTTGAAAACATAACCCTCAAAACAGTTTTCCAATGACACTGTTAGAGACAATGGTAATGGGAGTAAAATGGATATATTTCTCAGATGATGCCTTTGTTACATCTCTTTTCAGCTTGAAACTAACTGTTAGTGTTGAAATGCCATTGTGATAACACCATGCTTTCATGGCATCAAATTTTACATCCTCTCTACAAGTGGTTACAGGGTGGGAAAAGGTAACAATGAGGATCAAAAGACAGGACAGTTTGGGATTGCCATATGCTTTCCTCCTCTCTCTTTCCATTTTACTGCAAATACTATATGCTCCATAAGATGACCTCTCTTGTTCTGTTCGTCAACACTAAGTAAAATATTTCTCCTGGGTGTCTGAAACAGGTTGGATAATAATGCTGTTCCTAATAACAGGATTCCAAACATAAACTTTCAAAAAGAACAGATAAAAGTTTTACGAAGAATTACCAAACACTCTGGCTACAAATCCAAGGGGAAACTGGGAGGCAAACATGGTGAGAAACCAGGGAGCAGCATAGAGGCTGGGGCCAATCTCATGTTCCTCTAGGTGGTTATAGAGATCTCGATGGTAGTCATGAAGAAGTCGAGACAGTTGATACATCTGGATCTGCATGGAATAAGAACAAAGAGACTAAAGATAAACATGTTCTAACACTCATAGCAGCAAAGTCCATGCTTCACACTTTGACTGGAAACAGTGAAAGATATTGGTCAATTGATGTTTGGACAGAATTGTGTGAAGAAATACTCAGAAGCCACCTAAAAGGCCCAGGATGGGTCACCTGTAAGCCTATGACAGGTTCATTTGCAGGGTCATTTGAACCTCATACAAGACATAACAGAATTCTTCCTATTTATAGCTTTCATAGTTTTCCTGGTAGTCTTTTTATTTGAAACTAGTGCATTTAAGATGATGTATTCTTTTCCCACATTATCCTCCATCATTTTTGAGAGCTGAATTTAACTTCAGGTGCAGATTTTGATAATGCTATCTATATTGCATTATTATGCTTTAACATTAGCATCCTTTTATTAGAAAAAATTGAAATCATACCTGTAAAATTGTCATGTCAGGACGATATTGTTTTCTCAGGCCTATGTCAAACATAAGAAACTTTAACATTTTAAAAGCATCTTCTTCACTCATATGAAGTAGTAAAACTCCTGCTACAAAACTAAGGCCCTGGCAATATCCTACTTCCTGGTCCAGAAGTGAATAGGCCTTCAAAATATTGTAGAGTGACAGCTGCCCAGCTCCCAGCTGCGCTGAGAAATACGGATGGGTTGGAAATGTGCGTCCTGTGAAAAAAGCTGAAGTTAGTGACAAACTAAAAAATGAAAAAAGCAAACCAACAATACTTGCCACGTTATCAAATTAATCAGTCTTTCAAAAGGTAGATTCTTCTGAAAGGTAGATTCTGAGTCAACCTTCAGGAAGACCACAAGGAAGTTAACAATACAGAACTATTGACTCATACTATACAGATAAGGGCTTCTCTGATTAGTTTTGTTACAGTAGTGACAAAATTAACTTAGCAATTGTCAGAGAAGACAGGCTCCAGGATGGGGACAGTCTGTTGTTTGGAACAGCTCAGCAATTTGTTCTTAAGACAGTTGATCAGTTTGTTAAAGGCCGTATAGGGCGATAGTTGCCTCTAATAGTCGGAGACTCTATTCAGTGTCTCAATGACTCACCCAGTCCTCTTGATTAAAAAGTGTTGACTTTTAGACAACTGTTAGGATACAGGCACAGACTTAGAACATTTGAGTTCTCTGGGTTGGGGCTCCTTCCCTTGCTCTTTTCTTCTTGTCTTTGTTTGCAGTAAATGTCTCTTGTTACCTCCCTCCTTGCCTTGGTCCCTCCCAGCCTTATGGGTCCTTCCTCCTTTCCTGCAGCATGAAGCTCAGACTTCCGTGAGCTGATCCAGTTCACTAACCTGGCAGAAAAATCCTCTTTTATACGGGGTTAGTTGTTCTGCCCGTCACTCAGCTGTGTCAGCTCCTGGAGGTGTTTCACGAGCACCAGCACAAGTGACAAATGCTTTGAGAGTGGAAGTCAGTTGTGGGAGCTAAACTTTTGGTAGCAATGGGCTTTGGATCTATTCCTTACATCTCTTTAAATCCCAGCCTAAGGTAAACTATACTAATTGCAGAGCTGTAGGAGTACAATTGAGCCATTTCCAGTCCTTCAGTTCTGGAAAAAGACAACAACTTCCACCCCAGACTGGCTTATCTGTAAATTTTCATACAGACCTGGGGCCACATGTCCTTAAAACAAACTAATCCAACTAAGTAACTTACACAATCAGTTTGACCCATAATATTTACTCAGCAAGTAAAAACTCAAATTTTTTTTTCTGCAGCCCTTACAATATCAAGAATCATGTAGCTATGTATGTGCTGTGATATATGCTCTCTCTCTATATATGCTATGTACATATTATATGAGAGTGTAGCTAACAGAGGCAGCCAACAGACATGGCACTTTGTGCAGCAGTTTCTGGGCTTTGCTTCTTTGAGTTCTTCTTGAGCATCTGGACACTTTGCCCAGGATGGCCAGGGTTCTCCTGGCAACCTGATGCTGGCAGGCAAGCCTGAGACTGTGGTAAAAGTAGCTCTGGCAGCTTCTAACCAAGTCTCCTCAGCACTGCCCTTGAAGACATGGTGCCTGTAGCCTTTGTTCTAGCTGACCCCTCATTAGAGATGGTCATTAACAACCTGGACCCTCAGCAAGTTTGCAAATGACACAAAACCAGGAGGCTGCTACACCAGAGGGCTGTGCTGCCATTCAGAGGGACCTCGACAGGCTGGAGATATCGGCTGACAGGAACTTCATGAAAAATCATCAAAGGGAAGTGCAGAGTCCTTCACTTGGGGAGGAATAACCCAAGGTACAAATACACACTGAGGGCCACCCAGCTGCAAAGCAGCTTTGCAGAGAAGGATCTGGGGGTCCTGGAGGTTGCCAGGTTGAAGAACACAAGCCACCAGTCTGCCTTTGCAGAAAAAAAGGGCTAACTGTATCCTGGGCTGCATTAGGAGGAGCACTGCCAGCAGTTTGAGGGGGTTGATCCTTCCTCTCTGTGCAGCACTGATGAGGCCAAACCTGGAGTGCTGCATCCAGCTGTGGGCTCCCCAGTACGAGGGACATACTGGAGAGTCCAGCAAAAGGCCACAAAGATCATGAAGGGACTGGAGCATCTTTCTTATGAAGAAAGGCTGATAGACCTGGGACTGTTCAGCCTGGAAAAGAGGAGGCTCAGGGGCATCTTATCAATGTGCACAAATATGCAGTGGGAAGGAATGAAGAGGGAGCCAGGCTCTTAGTAGTGCCCCCTGACAGGACAAGAGGCAACCGGCACAAATTGAAATACAGGAAATTCCACCTGACCATAAGAGAAAAAAAAACTTTTTTTTTTTTTAATTGTAAGGGTGCCCAGCTACTGGCACAAGTTGCCCAGAGAGTTTGTGGAGTCTCCATCTGTGGACATACTCAAAATCTGAGTGAACATTATCCTGGGCAACCTAATCTAAATGATCGTGCTTTGAGCAGGGGTTTGGACTAGATGATCTCAACAGCTCCCTTCCAATCTCAACCATTCTGTGATTCCGTGAACAGAGACATTGAAGACTTCACTTTTAAAGATTTTTTTATAAAATGTTTCCAAAAGGGAATATTTTATTTTCTAGGAAAAAACCCTCCCCCTATCAGTTTTCCCCTGTGAAATACCTCAACAGAGGAGAAATTTGAATACTTCTTTTGTTCTAGTATTAAGTTAAGCTTGTTTTTCAGCCCCACTTGTTAAATAGGACCCCACCCTTTCACTCCTGGAATGCTGCTGTGCCGCCAGATAACATCAGAGCTCCTGTTTCAAGAAGACAAAGCCCAGGGCAGAGTCCTTCTGCCATCTGGTAGCTGCTCTGGCCTGTCACAGGGGACACTGGCATTCAGTATCTGGGCAGGTCTCCCCTGGCCAGGCCGTCACAGAGCTGAACACTACAGAAGAAATATTTCTAGCTTCCAAATGAGAAGGAGGTTGTGTTCCTTTGCAAAGGAATCCTCTGCCTGAATGACAAGTTATTACAACACAGCCTAAAGGCAGACCTGTACTGCCTCAGTAATGCGGCAAGGCTCCTTTCATACAAGTCATGAAGAAAAGTTACAAGCTGAGCAAGAATAAAAAAAACCAAAGAAGTTCTAAAAAACACTAAATGGAGGAGGAGGAGCAGAACTGCTAAATTCACAAGCTGATTTGTTTCCAAGTGCCTTGGTGATGACTTAACTAAGAATTTTAGCTTCTACTTAGGAACAAACAGCTTCTGGCCCTGCTGAAGAGAGTGTAAATGAACTGTGATGCCTCAAGAGCACCAGAATGAGAAAGTACCTACTACTATATTTCAGAAGTGTAATAAAGCAAAACATAATTTTCTACTGTGTTCAGCAAACACCCAGTGATGAGTACAGTGGTTTCCTAAACTGATAGCATTTGGAAGTTAGTTTACCCTACCTTACTGAGAGATGAAATTATTTACTGAACATGACTCTGGTGTTCAGGACCTGAAATCCCAAGTGACTGCAGTGTTTGTGCAGGTGAGGCCACAAAAGGAAATACACAAAAAAGCCTTCAGGTAATTGTGGCTTTATTCTTGGCCAGGTAATGAAATAGCACTGTGACACAAACTGGGCCAGGCAAGTGGCTGCTGTACCTTACCCTCTGCATCCAGATGCACACTGCTGTCTTCACTCTCAGGAAGCACTCTTTACAGCTGAAGATGCATCTATTCAACTAAGTATGAGCAATACTACTATGGGTTTGGCTTATACTGTGTTAGCAAGACCTATTTAGCTTAATTTGGGAAAGTTTTTTTTTAATATTTTAACCACATGTTGCAAGAACATAGCTTTTTCTCTCAAGCAAAAAGTGCATGCTTTCAGAAGGATTCTTAAAGATCTGCTTAAGATAAATGCTTTTGATAGCCTGAAGGAACACAAGTCAGAACATGCAAATTCTTTCTAGCTGCCTATACAGTTATGCTGTCTGTTACTGTGCAGCTCTACTCTATTTCAACGCGAATCATTGAAGTCTTCAGATTCCTAGTTTCACCTTACTGAAATAATAGGGCCCGATCCTTCACTCAGCTACTGGGCTAGCAAGTAACTGCCCCGCAAAAACAACACTTTGCATGAAAACCACCATGCCATTACTGATTTGCCAACACATGCACTCATTTGTTTCTACAAGCAGAGCATGCGGCTAGGATGAGAAAGTGTTCGTGTGCAGAACCAGGCAGAAAACATGAACAGCTTGCTGAGCCAGCAAGCCCCAATCTGCGGTGTGAGTCAAACAAACTGTGCTCCCTACCGTTCAGGAGTTGTCCCACCCCTCTCCCCTATGCTGAAGGTGTTCAATTCACTAGTCCAGCCCAAACTATTCACTCCTTATTAGGGCATTTCAGTGAGACAGAATCCCAATGTTCATTGCCAGGGGCATCAACACCAGGTACCTGACTTGACTGATGGGTACTTGCTACCAAAATGATCTCTGGTTGCACAAAAATGCCTCTCTCCAAAACAAAAGACTGCTTCTGGTGCTGTGCCATCCAGGGGAATTCCTAGAATTGGTGTGACAAAGTCTGGAGGGAAACAATTACCTACATTGGAACTGCTTATTCCCAGCTGGCATTAGGGCTCCTTGGAGTGTTACTCACTTCCCCAGTGCCAGGTCTAAACCTGGCAGGCCTGTCAAGTAGAGGAACGTGAAGGTGGCATCGACCATCACCCTCCCCACCTCAGCTCACACCAGTTTCTGCAGAAACACACTTGTTCCACCACATTCTTGTTTTCTATGCACTGCCTTAACATTTTGACTCACTTTACCAAGTGTTGCAAAAGAAAGGAGAAAATATTCTCATTTACCATATAAAGCTTAGGTCACCATCTAAACTTGACAAATCTCATAGTTCACTATATGCTGAAGATAGTCTGCACACTGAGTTATTAAGAAATAGGTGCCCCTGGACAGCTCTGGGTATAGATGCTCCCTCATCAGGCAGTTCTTCCATGTGGAAGAAAGGGGGTATAACCTTTCATTTGCAATTAAAAATACTCAAAGACTGAGTAGTTATAAATAGCAGAAGTGTGATGGGACAACTCTGTACTATTACTTTACAGAAAAGATGTAAGTGAAAATAATACAATATGTATTAATCATTCAGATCAAACCAAGTACAGATTTTCCCGTAAATTTTCTAACAAACACATGACATTTGGTTGCTTGCAGTGCACAACTTCCCCTGATGGAGTTTGTCATGGCAAATTCATTTACTCAAACTTAGTGATTTTGGACCTCTTAAATTGTCCCACAACTCCTCAGCCCCAAAGCAAAACCCCACAACACAAGCCTTTTGTAAGTTCTATCATGTGCTGGAAGAAATCATTAGTTTTCTCCTTTATTATGAAATAGCATAATGAACACTGAGTTAGCAAAGGATTATCCCACACACAAGAGCTGGGATGCCCTTGGAAAAACACCAGCTCCTGGTTTCCAAGACAATAAACTGAACTGAAGCATCTAAAGGAGGAGAGAACAGTATCTTTAAAAATATCCACAACCATTTACTCATGAGGATCATCTGTGGATTATCTGTAAAAAGCTCCAATTCAGCCATGTACCAGTGGGGTGTTACAAACTTGCATTAGATGGCTTACATTCAAACATACATACTTTTGCCAGGGTAAAGGTTAGACATGTGAACGTCTGACTCAACAAACACATATATTTGAATAATTACTGTCATGTTAGAAATACTTTAATGACCCCAACAGATTCCACAGAATACTTAACCCAGCTGAGGAGCAGTCATGTGCTCCTTGGGAGCAGGACTGGAGAGAAAAGGTAATAGTCTTCATGAAGGAAGAGGGGAGGAGAGAGGGGATGCCAAGAAGTACCTCTGTGAGGGCTATGAAACAAATGGCTGACTCATGGGACCTTCTGAGATGGAGAGGCTGCTGGTACTGATACAGACCTTAACAAAACCATCTGGGAACAGCAGCAACCAGAGACAATAAACGTGCTTAATACTGATCCACATCTTACAGAGCATACTGACTGTTGGTCTTATTAAATGTTCCCGGGTTTCGTTATCATCTTAGCCTAGCAATCAGTTAAGACAATCTCACACAAGGGAACAAAAAGTGAAAAAGGAAGAGGACCAGGAAAAGTAAAAAGAAGGGTTAAGAATTGCATAATGTTTTGAGGTATATGAAGATTGCTCTTTCACAATTATCTGGAGCAATCGCTCCTGCTCCTACCCTAAACAATCTTTTAATTCCATTTAGATATTATTTCTCATGTTTCCTTCTGATACTAGAAAAAACTTTTTGAGCTTTGAACAATAAATGTGAGGGGAAAATGGAAATCTCTACTGAAGATGACCAAAAGTCTGCCTGAAGCCCACTTACCAGTTACTTGAAATTTAAGAGCCTTGGTTCCTAACCTCTCTCTACTAAACTCAAATAGCATATGTGCCTCCAGAGACCAATTCACTGTCCCTAAATCAGGAGCCAGCTACTGCTCAAAATTAGGCAGTGAATTAGGTGTGAATAACCTGCCTTAAAAAGAGCATTTTTTTTATTATTAAAAAGAGCTTCTTTCATAATTGTTTTAATACAAGTAAAAACACCAGCTGCTAGCAACTACCCATTTAAAAAAAGAGGGGAAAAAAGCAAAAAACTAAAACTTCTACATTATTTCAAGTAAAAGTGTTTAACCGAGACAGCAAACAGCAGACATCAGGAATGAATAGCACACGTTATTCAACAGTCCGCACTTACATATTGACTTCCTTTCTTGGCAATTTGTATTCCACAGGCCTGTGGAGTTCACTGCCAATATCTGAAGTACAGATGCAGTACAATTACATCTAGCAATCTCTTATTACCACATGTTGCAAAGGACCTCTGCTTGAAATGCAGATTTTGCATTTTTCCTAATGGTGTCAACTAATAGGTGTCACTTATACAAGATTAAAAGCAGTTCTTACCAACAACCTAATATTAAATGGTGAGAGGCTTTTTGTGCATTTCCTTCTTTAATTTAAATCTCTTCCAGAGATCATAAAGCCCTTAGTTTAATTTCAGATCACTACTGTACTTACCTAGGTCAATAAGTATTGCATGTTGCTGGGAAGTTAATTGTTTTAGGAGTTCTTTATAAGGTGTGTCCTTTGGTGGTTGTTTACTTGGAAACTGATGTTTAAGATGGTATTGCTCTGCTAGAAACTTCCAGATCTCCCCACGGTGGTGACGTGGTACTCCTGAGAGAATAAAGTAATTAAAACAGTAATTTGTACTCCTACTGAGGGTTCAGCTATAGTTGAGCTAACAGGATTGAGGAACTGAAGATCCATATCTGCTAGACATGCAAGCAGATCCCTATTTGCTAGATCCATATCTGCTATCTCCAGTAGACTATAGAAGCAGATCAAACTACAGAGCTTACGCTTCCCTCAACCAATAAAAGACATCAGCATCTTAACAGGAGAGATTTAAGGTAGAAACAGGGTGAGCTGCCCAAGACTAAGGTTACCACTTACATCCAGTCTGAGAAGTACTAGAAGATGCAGCAAAAACTGCCATACTTGTCTCTGAAAAGTTATATGCTTATCTCCCATTTTTCCATGTAAAGTACACAATAAAGCACTGCAGTAGAAATAATTAACACTTTTCACTAATATAGCACTGACACTGTTGTTAGGAGGAAGTTTTAGGAAGGTAGGATGCACACATACTGGAAGTAAAATAAAGTACAAGTGAGGCGTGATCTAGAGAATACAATAGAAGGCAGATAATCAGACAGGAAATATTGCATTTCTGGTTTTGCTATTGATTTGCTGAATGACTGGTACACGTAAAAAATGTTTTAAAGCTTCAATTTCTTTCTCTATAAAAAAGGATGATGCTAATTAACTTTCACATAGGTAATGGTAGTCTTTATTTGTATCTATTTGCAAAGCTCTGAAACGAACAGAAAGGTTACTGTTACATGCATACTTTATTCAGCACAAGACTGGCGCTATTAAATCATCTACACAAGAGATCAATACACTATTCCATCTAATCCATGATGTACTGGAAACAGATATTGAAGTAACTTATAGCTTGAAGTTTTTTGGACTGCTTTCTTCTTTTGGTGTATATGTAACACACAGATAAAAACAACAATAGGAGAAATCAAAATTGACTCAAGCATACAACTTACATGGAAAGATAACAAAACATATTAGAGCAATTTCACTGCCTTTTCTCATATAACCACAAAGGGATATGAATTTATCTCTGCAATACTTATTTCTACTATACTATCATAATCCAGAGACAATTGCTTGAAAATGAAATGCTAGTAGAAATGTATAATATTTGAATTCACATCACCAATGTATTTAGAGAGTGTTTGTGTAAATTACTTTAGGGAACTTAAACCCAATTATCAAAAAGTCTCCAACATGAAACAGTGAGGGAAAGTGCTGTTTCAGACACTGAATGAGCCAGGTTTCCCTTCAGATACACATCTAAAATCCCATTAGCTTCAGTGAGGTTGAATGTGTCACATAGCATAGAACTTGCTTAATAGTGTATATTTACAGCTGCAAAATTACAAATTAATTAAAATTCTCTATAAGGAAGTAGTCTGATATTAAGTTTATCTCTGTATGCTGCATTGTACATGTAAAATATTTAGTTTACTACTTCCTAAATGAAAGATGCACTATATTTAAACATCTACTGCAGTGTACATTATAGGTCAACACTGCATATTTGTTATCCTAATTTAAGCCCCATGCTCATTGAAACCTGCATTTCTTACCTGTTTGCCTTGCTTACTCAAGTTATTTTTAATGGTTTTGGCCTAAACTAAAACTTGCTAAACTCAGTTTAAATGCATTTTTCATTTTTGCATACATATGAAAGAACTAAGAACTCTGGTTTGACACACTTGGGCTCTAGAGAACAGAACACAGAAATAGCATCAAGAGCTAGCGATACTTTCGCCCATCTATTGGCTACTTGCATGTGCTTCTTATTAGCAATCCACTAAGTGGGGCTTTATTTATTTACTTATTTTGCATCACTCCAAGTTTCTTAAGTTTTATTTTGACCTCTAACACAGGCCAGCATCTCTGGACTATCAACAGAAACCAAGTTTTTCTCATGCTCAAATATTGACTGGACAGAGCCCTTTACATGAACGGAAGGAAACCTGTGATAATGAGCTTTCCTTACTCTGTAGAGATTTGTGTTTGGGGCATTTGATATTGTTAGAACTCTAGATGTACCTACTCATCTTAAATGGACAATTTGGTTTAACTTGCTTGAATAATTACATATAGGCAGGTGCAATATTTAAAATATTAAACATCTGCTAGTGGTGAATTCTTCAGACTTCCTTTACACATTGGAAAGCTTTGTATAGAACTATCAAAAACTCTTTGGAGCAGCCATCTTTACCATTGGCTACATACAGCACTGAGCATAAGGCCTTTGGGTCCAGCCATGGCACCAAATAACATTGAGCAATAATCCAATTTCTTAGAACATTTAAAAAACTTCCTTAGGTTATATTACTTTTGATGCAGTAGAGAGAGGGGCTGGTTGCTCAGCCCTGCAGTTGTGAGTAAGACTGTAAGTGGTGTTTGCAGGTACAATGCGTTGTTGAACTCAGAAAAAAGGCAGTTCTACAAAGACACCCATTTATTTGTTTGTATACACACATACTACCCATGCTGGAACAGAGAATTTCCAGATAATAATGCAGACAGTTTCTTCAGGTTTTTTACACAGTCACTTCCTTGGCATTATCCAGGCTTTTTTCTTATAATTTAACTTTTAATTTATATGATTGGATTGCAACAATTATAATAGATTGAGATAATACAAAACTCTACTGTAAGGACAAATGTTATTAAAAAAATGAATGCCAAGTACTTTAACTCCAGTCATACAATTGCAGCTCCTAGTGAAAGGGAATGTCACTTGCATTTGTATAACCATGAAGATACTGAATGTTGTTACGTGTTTAGTCAGCAACCTGAGTAACAACTCTAGTGAGAATCTGGTCATAAGGAGTGGTGAAGAGGTCACCCTATTCCTTTTCTAATACAATTTACATGCATTTCAACAACTCAAAATAGCAAACCATGCTTACCTTGCCCAACAGCAGAGTGTATTTTTTCCACATCAAATTTAATCTTTGACCTTCCAGGTGTACTCAACATTTTTTCCCAAATCAAAGTTACATCTTTTAAGCATGGTGTGATTTCTTCATAGTCAAGTTTCAGACGTCTGTTCTGCAAATTGTTTTCTGAAGCTAGGAAGTGATATGAATGTGCCGGTTAATACTGTTTACTATTTGTAAAATGCATTAATTTAACTTAGAACTTCATCATGCAATCCACCTAAAATTAAACACTATTAATTCGGAAACATTACATGTTTAAATTTTTGTGATTGTGGGTGGGGTTTTTTTTGTTTGTTTTTTTTAAGATATTATACACGATATTTACTATGTTTGGCCTGTTAAATTAAGTTTCTTAGAGCTAGTCAACTCTTGACATCTGAAGAAATGTGAGAGACGATAACTAATGAAATAAACACAAGATTTTCCTAACAGGATTTTTCAATTTCCAAGCTCTTAAAAAAAAAATTAGTGCAGAAGAACTACACCAAATAAAAATAAAAATCAATAGAGTAATCTATTTCTTATACATACAGCTCCATAATAATAATAATGACAAAGTTATAAAAAAATACTTTAGAGGCGATCATTCACATGTCCATTTTTATAAACTACATAAAAAGGAAAGTTCAAGTATAGAAAATTTCAGAACTCGGAACACAAATAGGCCTATAAACACTATATATACATGAGGCTCAACGTCTCTACTGAAGAAATCAGAACAAGGGTCAATGCATAACTCAGTCTTAAATAAGACATTTTATATCATTGGAGCGCCTGGAAAAGAGGTGCACTGTAGTATTGGTGATTTTCTTAGATTACAATTTATGAGAATACTGCACTGTATCTTCATGTGTGGTTCATGTCCTGGTTTCAGCTGAGAGGGTTGATT